ACACACACACACACACACACACACACACACACACACACACACACACACAATTTGTTGTGAAGACGTGCTGAAGTGGGAGGGTCAGAAACAGTAAGAGGTTCTTAAAGAGACAGAGGCCAATTTCAAGGCATTTAGAAAGACTATGATGCAAAGTCAAATTTATTTTTGATATATTCAGCATTTTCAGAACAACTGAAGGTAACATAGTTACTTGATGATGGTACAGAATTGAACTTTGTGCCTGTAAAATAAATAACACCCTCCCTTTAAGAAAACATGCAGAAAAGTCAAACATGAACCATTTGTGAATCAAATGATTGTTTTTTATTAAAGGAGCACAGCAAAAATGTCATCTACTCATTCACTACAGAATACAAGTCCAGTGACTTTTAGGATTAGCCACTGTTTTTAGGATTATATGAAATGTAATCAATAAATGGTATCAATTCATAAAAACAAACAAACAAACAAACAAAAAAAAAAACCAGGGCAGGCCCTAGCCAATTTGGCACCCTATGTAAGAGTTCAGTTGAAGACCCATGTTCGATTTTCTAAATCTCACTGCCCATGTTGTTAAGATGCAGAACATACAACATAAACAAGGTAATAAAAAACAAAAATACAAGGTTTAAAAAGAAAAGAAAACTTAAGATATGAAGTGCCTGGTTCTGCTGGAGGTTTCTTCCTGATTAGCAGGGAGTTTTTCCTCTCTAACGTTTGCTCARGATGGGAGACTGATGAAGTGATTCAACGCAGTCTGCTGGTTTCGTCTTTAGATTGTTCTTTTTATGTACAGTGTCCTGAGACAAATTATGTTGTGACTTGGCGCTATGTAAATGAACTGAATTGAATTGAAGTTTGTAGAAATGGAGCATAAAGATAAAATGGGTATGACAATATTGACCAAATAAGCTTAATGGAAACTAGCTAAGATTTGAAGCTATGGACTAGCAATCAAGAAAACAAACAAACAAACAAACAAAATGCAAGTAAACTTGCTTGCAGGTGAAAACTGTTTGTGCAAATGAACATAATTACAGTTTGTCTACCTAAATGCCTCCCAACATTTGCTGACAGTAATGAGAGACATATTCTTGTGAACGAGCAGCAGTAGAGTGAAGCAGTTCTAAWGGGGGTCCAGGGATATACTCCCCTAAAATATTTGCAAAATATTGACACAAACTCTGCATTTTCCAGCCATTTGAAGAACATTTTACTAAATTCTTAGGACTACTAAAAGGTTAAATCATTGTTTTGTGAAATTAAAACACTGAAATCCTGGACTTTATCTGAGATCATAACTGAAACTTCCATTATTATTATTCTGTTTTCTATTTACACACTGAGCACCACTAGTTTGTCTTGACTGCATCATATGCTACTTAAATCACATTATTATTATTATTATTATTATTATTATTATACATTATTATTATTATACATTATTCTACAGACTAAATCAACTATACTCTGATAAAAAGTTATAGAAAATTTTTGTGCCCCACTTGTTGCACCGCCTACATAGATGTTGCCTTAGCATTTGCCTATACTACCTGTGCCTTGGGCCGGCCATGTCCAAATATAATCAGTTAGAATGATTTTTTGTATAGTGTTTTAGCATTTATGTGCTTTATGTTTGAGTATGATCAGGTGTAAAAGATGGAAATATTTTTTGCACGCTTGCTAAGATGTGCTGACATTGTTGCTGATTTTCATACCAGTGGTTTGTTGTTTTGCTTGATGTTTATTTAATCTGTGAGTTTATCACTTTAAAAAAGCAGGGCTCTGCTAATTATCTGATTTCTTCTGTGGAAGATGTAGCTTTTCAGCATCAAAACTGAAAAAAAACAAAACAAAACAAAACAAAAAAAACAACCCAGAGCTAACGCAGACAACTTTGGTGCTTTCTGAAGGTGTTTGTGTCTGACAGCCCCACTGACCGGGGAGTCACATTTTTTAACTGCCCCTTGTTCCTCAGTGAAAATCATCTGCTCTTAATATGTTTGCTGACCTTTACCCTCTCTCCGTCTCTCGTGCAGGTGTAGATGCTCCAGGCGCAGCGGGGCCCGGCCTCTGTGTCAGAGCGGGACGAGGCTGCTCCCACCTGGGCCACGGCACTGCCCTGAAGACGCCGGCTCGTGGTTTCTCTCTTCTCTCTCTGTCTCCACGCTGCGCGGATCAGAAAACAGGACGGAGCACAGAGGCCATTTTGTGAGGTGAAGCTGAGTGAAGCGGAGAGGGAGGAGGAGTAGTCACAGTGGGGATATTTTAGTCTGCTCCCCGCCCTCTGAACTGCACTGCGATGACGACTGCAGTGCAGCCCAGCGAACTGGTGTTTGAATTTGCCAGCAACGGGATGGATGAAATGAATCAGGTACCTGTCACACTGAGGGAAACATTGTTTTTAATATTTGATATTTCACACATAACTGAGCACATGTTTTTTATTTGGTAAAAAGATCTTGAGAGAAGAAACATAATTGATCTTTTTGACCCATGTTATCTTGTCTGTGAGTGGTTGTGGCGGGATGAGTCTGGGSTTTGTAACGTTTGACACCAGGTGTTGGAGGAGGATGAAGCAGCAGGGAGTTCTAGGAAGAGGAGTGTGGGCTGCTAGGAACACAGACTTGGAGAAAAAGAAAAAAAAAGAACCTGCAGCGARGGTTAGGGTGCGTGGGAGGGGACGGGTGGGGCGTGTTTATGGCACAAAGGTTGATGCGTTGAAACGAAACCTGCGCCCGTGCTTTCCTGCCCGTTTGCACGTTTTGGGAGAGCAGTTATCCCTTTCCCCACACCTGGGTCTGAATCCTGTGGATCAGGCTAGTTGTTTGCGATGGTAAATGCACGCGTGTGTGCTTACGTGTGCTGGTATCTGCATGAGAGTATCTAGAGTGACAAGTTGTTACTGGATCCCTGAATAGCGCCACAGCAGGCCTAACTTGACAAACCAGTTGTGTTGCTACTTAGAAGGGACAGGACAATTCAGTTAAAAGGTCCTGCATTGTTTCACGCTGACTGTTTTGTTCTGTGTGGCACCCTCTTGGCCTGTTTTTTTTTTTTTTTGAAGAAGAAGAAGCAACTCACCGACACTATTGCAAATCAGCCTGACAGTTGGGGAACATAAAACTAAACGTGTGCAGAAATCATTTTCTCTGGAATTTTAACGGTTTGCTCCGGACACAATAAACCTTTTAAATCTGAGCAAAATCATAGCATAACCTCTGTAATGATTAGCTCCTCTATGCTGGATTTTAGGTCAATAAGTAGACTCCTCAGGTGTTTCATGCGATGCCATTTTTACCCATCAGGCTTTGCTCTGAATGTTTCTTAATCAGAAAACAAAACACTTGCTTTTGATTCTCTACAGAGGCATCGCTACGAGACATTTGTCATTACGTTAAACAACATTTATCACTTAGATGGTGGCCTTGCGTGCTCACATTTCTCATTGAGGATATTGAAATTATACAGGCAGTTAAAACCCATTGTGTCAGGGCGAATAAAGCAGAAGAGAGTTGTGTGTGTGTGTGTGTGTGTGTGTGTGGGGGGGGGGCAGCATACACAAATGCTATTTCTTTCAAAGGCAAAATGGGGAACTCAGAAATGCAAATCAGCCCGATAGTTATCGCTCCTGTTCCCCTTCTAGAAACATTATTCAAGTCAATAAGCAGGAAGAAATGCATAAAAATAAAATTAAGCGTTGTGTTCAAAATAATTTATGGTGGGTAAACTGCTCTGTTGTAAAACAATTAAAAGAACAACAACAAAAAAGGTTTCCCGTAGTTTTTGTGAAGCTCGCTGCGACGTGCCTTTCAAAACTGTCGAGTCATCGCTCGGTCTACATGACAATACAAGAAAAGCCTGACGTGTTCCAGGCCAAAGCAGAAATCCATTTAAGATGAAAACAGCAGCCGAGACGGCAGCTTCAAATGTCTCGTGCTCCGTCAGCAAACTGCGTGAGATTCAGTCGGAGGAGGAGGAGGAGGAGGAGGAGGAGGAGGGGGGATGTGCTGCTGTTCCAGGAGCTCAGCAGACCCAACAGGCAAAACATATTTTTATCTAGTGACACACACCCACACAGACCCCAACACACACACWTTTTTTTGTTTGTTTTTACTCTCATTCAAGGCCTCCAAACATCATTTAAATCCAACGTTAGTCTGGCTATCTGACAGTGTCGCCCAAAGATTCTGATTAATGGGAAACATTCTGTGTGTTTCAGAGAGACGCTGATAGCGATGCTAGTCAAAGCAAAACTCAGGGTTTTTTAGGCCTTGTTGCTTCGCTGCTGAGAGGGCAAAAGCTAYGAATGTTAGATGTCCGGCGGAGCCGTCTTGCTTTTAACGCCCGCRTTATTTGCGATGTGTAACAGTACCTGATGAAAATCCCAGCAGTCAGACCTGCTGGGAGCAGCACTGAAGGACCAACTATTTCTCGCTTTATCCAAATAATGAGCCGGTCTGTTAGTCTTCTGGTTAAAGTGTAGCTAAGCGGGTATGTCGCTGTGTAGTAGAATGCCCCCACTCCCACCACCRCCCTATCCCCCAGCTCAAGGCCTGGACACCTGGTATGCCCTGGAGGTCCCGACCAACAATGAACACTTGTGTAAAAAGAGACAGATAAGCCTTTATTCCTGTTCTTCCACCTTCCCCACCAACAAACTCCTAAATCGCCTCATCCCTGCAGGAATGTTTTCATTGATCCACATTGYTTGATTAAAGATTAAAAAATTCACATTGTTGTGAGTTTAGAGGCGAAGGGATGCTTCTTCACATTTTGACCTGTCTGTCACCTCGTCATCAGAGCACCCTGCCGCAGAATGTTGGCTCTCATTTTAGACACTGTTTMTTTTTACAACTCTTTAAACTATCATTTAAAATAAATCATACGCTGTTTTAACTTCCTTTCTGCCTGGTGGGTGTAACTGTTACTGATAAGAAAAACATCTGAATTGAAACATTCGTCATTAAGGGTTAGACATGATGTAGTTTTAAAGTGTAGTGTGCTGCCCTCTGCTGGTCAACCATTGTTTCATAATAAAAGATGACTTTCATTCATATGAGTATTAAATTTTATTGAAGTTGAAACACTTTTAAATGTAGCTGAGTTCATTTTTCATCCTGTATGTTTACTCTTTAAATCAGCTGATCACATGTTGGATATTTTGTGACCGAGATGCACTCCTATATTTTTATACGTTGAGATAAATTGTAACTATTTGCTTTAAACAGTTAGAGAAGTCTCTTTAGTTTTAGTGTTGGTTTCTATAACTTACTTCCTTGTTTATTGTGACATCATGTCCGGGGTGGGGCGTGACTCTGGACTGAGGTTTTTTCATTACGTGTGGTTCGCTGGCTTTGCCGCGTCTCGAGGGCCAGGGTGGAGATTTCAGGAAGTGGACCAGCTCTGAGTCCTGTGTGGTAACTTTGCATGTCTGCAAATAAATCTTCAAGTCTGAGAATTGAACCATCTCCTGCGCAGAGTTGGATCTCTTGTTTGAACATTATCTTTCACGCAGGTAGAAGTTGGGACCCCATCGTGGGTCCAAAGATTTCAAGAAAAAAAAAGCTAATACATAGCATATTTTTGCAACAACTTCTACAGAAGATAAAAAGTACATAAATGGGTAGAAACAGTCAAACATGTGCAGTATGAGTATCATAATTTTGCTCGTTTAGTTGGATTATCTGCAATGGTTTGCATACTTCAACCGTAGAGAGTAAGGTTTAAGAGTGTTATTTCGTGTGACAGAAGYTGAAAGTTTGGGAACACAGCTGTCGTACTTTGAGGACTAGTCCMCCCGTCTTCCTAAAAGTCACGAACCAGGCGCTCAGTGACCATTCTCGATGAGAATCTGTGTTTGAGGAGCTCTCGAGGATGTTTGTCTTCTCGGATGTTGCCCAGTGGTTCGGCTCGTCTTCGGGTAATTCCCTCAGTCCCCTCGCTCCTGCCTGCGTCAGCCTGCGCTAAGCCTGAAAATGAGAGGTTAGAATTCCCAGARTGCGGTGGAGAAGGTGCTCGCCTGCAACTCATATCTGATTCATTAACATTCATTTGGTCTTATATAATTTCTGGGCATAAGATTAACTTCTCAGGAGAAGTGGGCCAGATCAGACAGCTGGTTCCCGTCTTCTTCAGCAGGTCCCAGCGGACTCGCAGTAACACCGCCGAAATGAGCTCTCTTCCATGCTACGTGCCTCCACATTAGCTGAGGCTCAGGATAAATCTACACTATTTTACAAAAGCTGTAAAAAAGAAACCAAACTGGGTTTTATTACATGGAATCAATGTCTTATGTTATTTTTTATTAGATTGCATTAATGATGTGTAGTGGAGGAATAAATGGGACTTTTATTGCATTTATATGTAGACACTCACATATGCTCAAAGACTGTTAATATCTCTTCTAATGGTGTCTCCTGTGTTCTATAAATGGTGTTAAATCTGCCATTTTACTCAGATTTGTTCTTCCTCTGCTCAGCTGGACGACCCGTCGGTATTTCCAGCTGTGATCGTGGAGCAGGTGCCCACAACCGATCTGCTGCAGGTCTACTCGGGCCTCGAGTCCGATGAGGTGACGAACGGTATCATGGTGGACAGAACCCTGCATGTGGTGGAGGAGCCTTCCATGTTGCCAGGAGAAGTGGACCTCTCAGGTAAAGAAATGTCTATATA